CCAGTTGCTTAGTAACTCATGTCAAAATTACTAACATGACCTCCAAAAACTTCTCACTACTTCCAGCTTCTTTCCCTCCAAACTTTTTTCGGAAGTAAACTTACTAAATCATCATTCCCTTCCCATGTTTAAAGCTGTTTATTTCAATTAGGCTGCTTAGCTCAATTAGGCTACCATAAACTGGGCGAGGTATAAACAACGAAAACTTATTTCTCACAGTTCTGTAGACTGGTGAGTCCAAGATCAAGGCACTGGCAGACGCGGTGTCTGGCGAGGACTGCTTCCTGGTTCATAGCCAGGGCCTTCTCACCTTGTTGTGTCCTCAGATGGCAGAAGGGGTGAGGGAGAGCTCTCTGGGGTCTCTTTAATAAAGGCACTGATCCCATTCATGAGGACTCTTCCCTCTTTACCTAATTACCACCCAAAGGCTTCGCCTCCTCATACCATCACCTTGGGATAGCATATGAATTTGGTGAGAACATTCAGACCATAGCGTTCACTGAATTCTTCAGTGAACCCCACAATCAACCAAGCCATATGCTAGGTTTGTCTCCTAGAATCATCCCCCTTCCCTGAGCAGAATCTGTTCCGTCCTCAACCCTTTTCATCTTTTCTCCCATTCTTTTCCTGACACATCTTTTCAGTCAGCCCACCTGATTGCTTTCCTGTTCTAAGGATTCTGCTACATGTCTGTGTTTCTCCTCTGTCCAGAAACCATGTTTCTCTCCAGTGAGAACCATGTTAATTTTCCCATTTCTTTAAATTCAGTTGAAGTTCCCTAATGGATCCATCCTGACCCAATAATTCACTCTTCTCCTAGCTTCTATGCTATCAGAGTTTGGTGACTACATGCACTTTCTTGTAATACTTTTCCATGAGAATCTTGTGTCCCTAGACTATGCCCTGTGACTGTATACGTGTGTTTCCCAGCGCTTAAGCCAAGTATAACTATAAAGTGTTCATACATTCACTGGGTGCAACAGTCTATGTGTATTTGTTAAGTGCCTACTTTAGCCAAAGTAGATGCTCAGTATGTAACTGAGTGAAAAATGTGTGAATGGGAGCAGAGAAATTATAAAATAAAAATACCAGAGATTACAAACATTGTGCTTCATTTATGTACCCACTAGAATTATCAGTAACTATTGATTGCATAACTATCATGTGCTCAACACTATATTAGGTGAGGCATGGGCCATGAAGGGGTTAAGCAATATGGTCTCTCTCATTTCATGAATTTCCATTTAATATGTTGACAGCTAAGGTAGGAATATATGAAACACTTTAAATAAAAGTGAAGCTAATATCTGAAGTACATTAAGGGTGGACTTTATGAGTAAGTACTGAGGAAAGGCAAAGAAAAAGAGAAGAATCAGTGAGGCATTGGGCTTCTTAAAAAGTTCCCTGGAGATCTTTGGTGTTGAGATGGACCTAGAAATTTGGGATTTGGATTTGAATGTAAGGGCTAGTATTACACTATAGCAATGACAGCAAAGAGAGAGTGCATCTGGGAGTCACGGATCCAGAAGAGTGCGAGGCTCCGTGAGGACCGTCCGGCTGGAGGGGACAGAGGTGCAGAGAGAACAGGATGGGTGGTTGAGGAGGGGAAGTTTATTTGGGGAGGATGAAACGGAAAAAGTATGTGAGCTTCCTAGCAAGGCACCTGATCCAAAATAGGTGCTCACAAACACTAGTTACCCTCCTCCACTTTGATCTAGCTCTTAGGAACTAATGATATAGACTCTCTAGTCTTGAAATGGTCTTTACTCATTTTCTCAGGTGATTAATAACTTTTCATGGGTGTCATATATATCCCTCGCCTAAGTTGCCATAACTGCTAGGAATATTCTTAATAAGAGATGAGCAATCTTACCTCATAACTGTATCAAGAATTCCAACTGATTATTCTATGTGAAATACATACATACACTATCTATCTATCAAGATATACATATATACCATTGCCTGTATATCTATCTATATATATATATTATCTATAATCATCATACACATCCATCTATCTCTATGCATGAATATGTGTATGAGTTGACTGTGTAGAGTTAGTGATAGAAGGTGAGAATTCCTGGGTGACTCATCTATCACTTTTGACTCTCTGTAACTTATAAATGTCTTTCTTTTCCAAAGTGGATGTGCAAAAACACACATGTGGTTTCTTCTCTCGCTGCCACTGCAGCTTCCTTCCCATGGTCACACTCCACACTGTGTCTGGGCAATGGTTTTCCTTCAAGGCAGTTAAACGACTCTCTGTCCTCACTCCGTGCTGACCACGTGCATGTGTCTCAGCCCTAGTCCTTCACTGCTCACTGTCTGGTAAACCCCTGTTACCTGGTGCTCACTTCTCCTATTTTTATTCAATGTAGGGAGTCTCTAAAACTCTCTCTGAAGTGTCTTCACGGTTTGCGACAGTAAGTGTTATTGACGTTAGCTGCTGTGGCGGGTAAATCCTAACAGTCTCAGTCCTGGCTCCCTGTGCTATCAAGCCGTAACCGCCGCCCTTGACCATTTGCCAAGGGCATTCACATTGCACAGGGAGGTGCCATGAGATGCTCTGGTGGGCCACCTGGATACCATATGGATTCCTCCAGGCCCCATATGTAGCAGTGGCTTTCCTCTTAATGATGATTAGGATCAATGGCCCCTGCAGTATGGTGAATTATTCTTCCTACCTGTGTCTTAGTTCAAAGAGGTTGAAGTGGCCTGGTGCAGCTGCAGCTTAGTTTTTAACAGGACTCTTCCTGTGTCCCTGGGAGGACACTCTATGCTCTGCGGGAACCAGAGTCTCGGGACTCACAGCCTGCAGGTGCCTTGTGCTTCATTCCCGGTGGTCAGAGGGGTAAGACAGGCTAAATGGTCTTTAACTTGGAGGGTGTGTACTTCCATGCCTCAACCCTGGATTTCTAAAACCCTTACTGATGTGTTGGGTCCCCGCATAGGGTTTATTTCGCACCATGTTCTCCAATGTATTTATTTACCATATCTTGCTAATCTGTCCCAAATAGCAGCAGGATGTCATTAATACAGTAGAACAATTGAAATTCTGAGGATTTTCTAGAAGTCCCTCTGGACCATATTATAACTGAAAGGCAAAACCATCAAAGTGTGCTGTTATCCATCCCATGTGAGAGAGAACCCTTTCTGCTAGGGATGGAAAAGAACACAGAAGCTGGACCAACGGCAGCATTCCCTGTACCTTCATGTCTCTCTGGACCACTGTGTTGGTGGCTTATGGGCTGACTGCTTTGGCTTTGTAAGTTTTCTTTTTATTTCCTCTACAGGGTCATTTCTCATCTTTCTTTTAAACCTTGTTACATATAAGAACATTTTTTATAAATGTTCAAATATTTTCTCCAGTTATTTCCATGTGTTGATAGCAGATTAGGGGTCTATCAAGGCTTAGCCAGCCATGTTGCTGAGAGCAAGATGGAGAATATTGTTCACATAATTTAGCTATGAGAAAGTAAGATAATGCATAGCAGCTATATAGGGTCACAGAGTGAACAAACTATAAGTGTACTTGTGCTTGTGCATGTGCATGTGGATGACTCTTAGGTTAGAAACAGGAAAACATAAATATATTGTCTTCAGGGGGAAAGATGTCGAAAGGGGAAAAGTTGACAGTTCAGAGCACAGTCGATGCCTAATTGGCTAAGGCCCTGGAAATGGAAATGAAGGTCCTCAAAGGACTTTGGCAGGTTCAGAGAAGCGAAACAAGATGCACATAAATATGTCCAGGTACACTTTTGCTGAGATTAATTTGGCCAACTACCTATAGATCCATGGCATTAAAATACCAAGTGATTTTTTTCCACTTTGTTTTGTATCAGATATTGCTTTGAAATAAATTGGGTAGCACTATTTTGCAAATCTTTTAGTTGTTAAGGGATTATCTTCTATAATATTAATATTTAATATTAATTTTTCTAGTGAAAGGGCTTTTGAAGAGCTCTTACAGCCATTAAGAATTGGGTAGGAAATGAGCATGCTTATTTTGTATCTTGTTGTCATTACATAGGAAATACGCTTATCTAAATAGACTCCAATAACTTTCTTACTATTAATATTGCCTTGGTGCTGATCTCAAATTAACATATTCAGTTTGTCTTCTGCTTAACATAAACTTGTGTAGTCCATTTGCCAGCAAAAATAAATGATTTTTAAAGAGATTTTGTTTTTCTGCAAAGTGTTTTAAGGGAATTCAAAATTTTTAGGACGTGTAAATATCAATTTATTAGTAATCCCCTAATCATAATTTAAGAAGTTGAATATTGGGATGAGATGGCGGTGGTAAAATAGATAAAACGTCATAGTAGAAAAGTCCTTGTTGAATATTTTTTATTTGAATTTATATGAATTTATTTTATCCCTAAATTTTGCTTTTCTATTTGCCAGTGAAATGTGAGCGACTGTTTAACATCCTTACTTTGGTACAATAGTACTTTTCCTTTTGACTTTGGGGAAGTTCATATTCTACCTATTATTATAATTAAATTCTGAAAACATTTATTTAAAACTCTGTGATGCCAGGTACTGTGAGAATATCGATGAAGTAAACCCAGTATCTACTTTCAAGGACATCACCGTGTGTAAGAGAGGGGGAGATATCAATGCTATGATATAATAATGGAGCAATAGCGATATATGTGAGTGGATGGGAAGATTTAGTAGGTTAACTGAGAATGAGTAAGGGAAGACTTCCAGAAGGAGATTTATATTTAAGTTCAAGTTTAAACAACTGATTGATGAAAGTGTCCCCATAAGAAATATAAAATTAGGAACATCAAGGTTCTACATAGTGCATGGAGTGCCTCCAATTTTTAAGATGCAGCATTGGTGTATACAAGCTCCACGCTTAGCGGCTCAGGTCTTTGCAGAGAACGCAATCTAAGCAACCCCACAGGATTACAGAAAATGTCCTAAAGCACATGTTACCTTTTCACCCGTAAAGGTACTAGAGGAAACATCTTTCTGTGTCTATGCAGGAGCCCTGTCCTGGTTTTCCAGTGCAACTATCGCCACGTGATCTGCTTAGACTGCTTCCACTTATACTGTGTGACAAGACTCAATGATCGGCAGTTTGTCCACGACTCCCAGCTTGGCTACACCCTGCCGTGTGTAGGTAAGTCTAGCACTTCTTTTCTCCATTTCTAATATGAATGAAAAGCAAAAGAAGAAGAACTATTGATGAAAAAGTATCTTTGGTGAACACATACCTAATTCCTAGCAGAGGGTTGAAAATTTGAATTCGATCATTGCTGTGTAAGAAACATTAATATTTAGATCACAAAAGGTGTAAAACTCTAGGGAATGAAGGAACTGTGTTGAACTAGAGAATGGGTAACTTGCACAAATGCATTGAAAATAAGTTTGAAAATATCATTCAGCCAAGGTACACAAAGTGCGTCTGTGGGTTGGATTCACCCTGCAAGCTTTAGATTTTTTAACCTTGGATCTAGAGTAGTATCATCCAGATATTTAAATTGTACACTGCTATCAATAAAAATGTTGAATATGTACTTGGTATACGTGAAATAACATATGAAGAAAGAAATTAAAGAAGAAGGAGATAAAGCTGGACTGTTTAATATTTAAATTTTTGAAAAATATTTTAACATCACAAAACACCCTTTACTTGCACTATACTATTATTACATATATAATTTTTAATTGAGGTGAAATTCATATAACATACATTAAACATTTTACAGTGTACAATTCAGTGGTGTGTGACACATTCACAATGTTGTTACAACCACATCCTCTCTCTAGTTTCGGAACTTTTTCGTCACCTGAGAATACCCTGTACCCATTAAGTAATCACCCCCCCCCACCCTGGCTCCAGCCCCTGCCCAGCACAACCCTGTCTCTATGGAGTTCCTATTCTAGATGTTTCCTAATATTTTTGAGGTTTATCCAAGATGTAGCACAGGTCAGTACTCCTTTCCTTTCATGGCTGAGTAGTGTTACACTGTATGGTTACACCACAGTTTGTTTATCCATTCAAGTGTTGAAGGGCATTTGTGTTGTTTCCACGTCTGTGGCTACTATGAATAATGCTGCCGGACACATTCATATACAAGTTTCTGGGTAGGCACATGCTTTTATTTATTTGGATATGTACGTAGAAGCAGAGTTCTATGTTTAACTTTTTGGAAAACTGCAAACTGTTTTCCACAGCCACCGTGCCACTTTATATTGCCACCACCAATGTGAATGGGTTTCTTTTTCTCCACATTCTTGCCAGAACTTGTTAGTGTCCTTTTTGGGTTTTTTAGTGCTCATCCTAGTGGGCGTGAAGTGATACCTTATTGTGGATTTGATTTTCATTTCCTTAATGACCAGTGATGTTGAAGATCTTCCCAGGTGTCGTTTGTCATTTATCTATCTCCTGTACAGGCATGTCTGTTCAAGTCCTTTGCTCATTTTTAAGTAGGGTTGTTTTTCTTTTTGTTGTTGAGTTGTAAGCATTCTCTGTATATTCCGTATACTAGACCCTTATAAGGTATACAATTTGCAAATATTTCTCCCATTCTATAGGATGTCTTTTCACTTTGTTGATAATGTTCTTTGATGAACAAAAGTTTTTAACTTTGATGAAGTCCGGTACATTTGTTTTTTCCTTTGTTGCTCATGTCTTTGGTGTCAAATACAAGAATCCATGTCAGAGATCATGAAGGTTTTAATTCTGTGTTTTCTAATAGCTTATCTTTTATATTTAAGTCATGGATCCCTTTTGAGGTAATTTTTATAAATAGAATGAGGTAATTCCTTCTCACTACATATATATTTTAATGACTGCAATATGATTAAATATGCCTCATTAATTTTGAAAATTGTGATTTGAAACTATGGGATACCTTGACTCAATGGTCAGTTTTTAGGTTTAATCTACTTAAATACTTAGTTTTAATGTGAATCTAATTAAAAAAATATATTTCAAAATGATACAGAGATCCAAATGTACCTGTTTTTTAACAGGTAAAATATTTACATTATTCTACAGCCAAAGCTATAAAATATGTTATACTCAAAAAAAGTATAGCTTTTATCTTCATTCTTTCCAATATTCCTTTTCTCCCCCTAAAGGTAAATCTTTACTAGAAACAATCACTGATTTTAAAAAATAAGTAAAAATATTATAAATGATGTCACTATTGATATAGATTTGCATCAACTCCTTTTAAAGTAAAAAGTAGAATATTATGCACATTTTCCCCACCTTGATTTTTTTCTCTCTGCAGAACATATTATGTTCTAGAGATCACTTTCTACTGTTATATAGATATTTTCTCCTATTTTTAAAAATATAGCATCATTGAATTCCATTGTATAGATATACGTTTTATTGTTGAACACTTAGTTTTCATTTTTTATTACAAATATTACTATAACTAATAGACTTGTGTGCACACACATATTTTCATATTGTTGCCAGAGTATCATTGAGATAGAGTGCCTAGAAGAGGGGTTGCTGTATGGAAGGGAAATATATATTCATTTTACTATCTCCTAGTTCCCCTCCCAGGAGTGGTGCCCCTTTCTTTCCAACCTGCATGTGTGGGACCAGCAGGCTCTCCACGGCCTACCCAGCAGAGGAGCTGGAAAACTTTTGCATTTTTTTCCTAATTATATATTTGAGAAATATTATTCCATGTGCTTTCTTCTAAATGTTAAACAAGGTTGAGCATCTTTTCATATGTTTGAGAATGTGTAAGATTCTTTTGCAATTTTTTCCTCAATCATTTTAAAAGCATCACCTTTTCTTTAAGAGACAGGTTGAGTATATTCTTCTCAAAAATATTGTCCGTATAACACACTATTGATAGCCCCCTATAGTCACAGGAAAAGTTAGCAGAGTTGGATATCTTATATTTTTGTAAAGAATGTGTGCAAATTAGCTTTAATGTTGCTAGTTTTTTGCCACATAATAATTAAAACTCTATGTAGACAAAAAGTTTGTGTGGTCAAGATCTATCTTATTAAAATGCATTATATGGATTCTACTATATTTTAATTATGCTTTAAATACCTTTTGAAATTTATTTTATTTTAAATGTAATGTCAATGACATCCTTAGCATCTTATATACTCCTGGGTTCAACTTCTTGGTTTTAATAGTGAATGAGGCAGGGAATTAATGAATTTAACTATGCTGCTTTGTAATTTTTCCTTGAAATTCTTTTAAATAATTTCTGGGAATGTTGCCACCTCATTATTGGTTCTTTAAACATAATGCTCATAGAAATTTGCTTTTATTTTTTTTAAATGACATTTATTATTGAGAACTTATCTTCTCTGGCACCTCTTTCCTTTAATGTTTAACAACAACAACAAATACAATGTTACATGTTTGTGTATTTTGCTATTAAAAAAGAATATAGCAAATAACCACAAAATGAGAAAGGTTAGAAACAACTATATTGTCTTTCAGCTGCGTAGTAACTCTCTGCACAGCATGACTCTGTCGGAGATAATTTAATATATATCTCCAAAAATACTCATAAGAAAATATAGTTCAGTTCAGTTTGTCACAATATTGTTTATCGTGTATTGTTTTGGCCTTTTTAAAAAACTGTGGCTTCAATTATAAGTGTTTCCCCATATTACATAAAAAGTGGCTTTCAAATGTTACAGACTTTTTTTTTATTTTATTAAGAACAAACTGAATTGTCTAATATTTTCTCAACACAGACAATCTTATCATTTATTACCTACTTATTTTTAATTTTTTTCTTTTTTATTTCAAAATATTACACGGGTATAAATGTTTTGGTTACATGGATTGCTTTTGTACTGCTTGAGTCAAAGTTGTAAGTGCACCCATCACCTTATATATAATAAGCATTCACTAATAGCTTTAATTACTACTCATTTTTGACTCACAGAGAAATAAAATTCCATATCACACCCTGAGAAAGTATAACAAAACTTCTGGTAAAATGAGGATCTCACACTTAGGATGGCAGAATTTGTACTTGGAAGTTATTTTAATCCAGCTTTAATTAGTCATCATCATAATTTTGTCCATGAAAATGATTGGTTCGTTGTCGAATAGTCAGAACTCAAAGAATATATATGTCTAAAATTGAGCTTTGAAGATGTTTCACTTAAGAAGTTTGAAAGAGGCTTGAAAGACTAGATTATGGAAACAAAAAGGATTTTATGATGTCCTTTCTGCTCCAAAATTAGCTGAAATCAAATTAAGCTTCCTAAGTTTCTGAGGTTAATGCTAAACATCTTTCTTTTTTTATTTGGGGGAGGGGAGGTAGATTTAGCAATTTTGACAGTTTTCCTTGGATTTGGATGTATGTATGGGGCAGTGTAAAGTCAGGCCAGTACTCTAACTCCTCCAACCAAAGCAACACCGGAAACGCAGTGCCTTCACGAGGTCAAGGTTCACCTCCACGAGGTCAAGGTTCACCTCCACGCGTGTCACGGTCTGTTGCGGGCTGGACGTGGGACCTCTGCGCCACACCAGCCTTCAGGGGCTCGGACCCCAACTTCTGCCGTCTGGTGGCTCTGTCGTCCTCGGCAACCCCGAGTCCTTGCTGGATGCTCTCCATGGGGCAGGCTGGCGGAGGACCAGAGAGCCACGCATCACACTGGAGACATTAATGTCCGGAGGCCAGGCCTGCAAATGGGGCGCGTCACTTCTTCCCACCTTCATTATAGCAGAACTCAGCCCGGGGCCCTGCCGAGCCACGGGGGTGCGCCGGGGGAGGGGAGGGCATGGCGAGGAAATACGGCCTGGCCCTGTGCCCAGGAGGAGAAAGCAAACAGGGCTGTAAACACACTACTGCAGCCCTGACACTGGGGGGAGAGGAGGGCGAAACGTGAAATTTATTGAAGTCGCTTTTCAGCTTTCCTCTCCCTGCTTGCAACAGGAGCAGCACTCAATCAAGTGAGTTCATTATAAGGAGCGACTGGTACGTGGACAAGGACCAGAGAAAGAGCTGTAGGACAAAATTGATGGTGTTCCAGGGCCCATTCTAGCTGGATCAACAAGGCACTGTCTGTTCCGTAGTCTGTTTGGCCTTGGATGTGCTGCCTTTATAGAATCCTGCTTGAGAGAGGACAACGGGACTTTATGTTTGTTTGATGCGTACGTGTGTCGTCAGTGAACTACAGGTGGAGCGAGCCTCTGCGCCTATTAGAAATGGCACCAGCAGCATTGCTCCCTCATCTTCAGGGGGAGCCTCGTGTCCAAGTAAACATCGCCCCCGGTTCTTTCTTTGCTTGAATTTCTACTTGCCAACCTGCCTTTTTTCTTCTTTTCCTGCACCTTATTAAATGGTTAAAAATAAAATTTTTATTTTGTAGAAAACAGAAGGTGGGAATGTTCTGAATAGCTAGCAGAGAAAGCAAAAATAATTTCTTTCCACCCCTTTCTTCTCCAAACTCTTGAAAAGAGAGCATTCTACCTTTGTTTTATAAGGGCAAAAGCAAACCATTTTTAGAGTATAAATTTATTATTTTACTTATCCAAGGAGACCTAGAAAGATGCCTGCAAGTGCTCAAGATAGCTACAAGAGTTGTTCAGAACAGCTACCTTCAGGTTCTCTTCGTATATATCTATGACTCCTCTTCCCCTGTCTTATTAGCAGTCAGCACAACTTTTGAATCTGTTCGGTCCGAATTATCTGTACAGTGGGTGCTCTCCTGGGGCTGGAGGAATTATATTAATAAAAGTCATCAATAGAATACTAATTGACCTTTAAGTATATCATTTTAAATGATTGGATGCATTCTGAAATTGATTGTGAGCCCTATCATGCATGCACAACAGTGTTTGAAACACATTTATATGGGTGATAGATTTGTACAGTTATAAAAAGCCTCTGTAACCACCACCCAGATCAAGAGCAGGAGCATGGCCAGCATCCCAGGAGCCCTCTATGTGACCTCCCTATCACGCCCTGCTCCTGCCACCTAGGTATGGCTAGGTATGACTACTGTTCTGACCTTAGTGACAGTCATTCCTTACTTTTCTTTACCATATCACCACCTATGTTTACATCCCTAAATAATATAGGTATCTGCCTGCTTTTAACTTTCAAATTGATGCCGGAAGATTTTGCCAAATATACCACTCCAGAACTGTCTAAATTCCAGTAATAGCCCTCGTCATGAAACTCTGAATACATGTGCAAGTTATTCCAACATCTGAGGTTTTCATTCTCATTTTGGTTTTATGTGTGTGTGTGTGTGTGTGTGTGTGTGTGTGTGTGTGTGTGTATAGTTAATTACAGCAGATAATGGCTGTCTTCCTTATCTCGGTTGTTATCGGGTGTGAAAATAGTTTATTGTGTTTTTCATCAGATAAATTTTGAGTTCACAATCAGCAATATACAAGCAAACTGTAATAGTGACCTGGAAGAGTTGCTTGGATGACATTAGCATTTGCTTGCAATTGGGTGAGAATTAGAGTCTTGTGTCCGTATGATGAATTTCAAAAAGCACAGCTCACTGCCTAAGTTAAATTTCTTCTTCCATTTGTCAGTGTTGTACACACCACTATCAGCTGCTTCACATTTGGTGTTTTGGGTGGTTCCACTTCAGTTTGCCCCTCGGTTTGTATCCGAGCTGAGAACCACCTCAACACAAGCTGACTGGAGGCAGCCGAAGTCGCACTTGGCAGTGGCAATGTTACACACACGCTGTGCAGCGCAGTCCGTGAAATCTCGCTAGTGTCTCAGGAAATGAGATGTGTGCAGTGTCTTCATGAGCTACAGATTTTTGCAGCTGGTGAGAACTTCATTCTGGAAGAAGGCAGGGCCATTTGGGTCAAGAAAATTTAGTTTTATTTGAGGCCGAAATCCCTTTGGATTTTGAATACATACTGCCTGATTCAGACAGGTGTTTGTTTAATTGTTGTAGCTGTAGATTCTGTTCCTTCCTCACCACCATCATCATCCAGTGCATTTATGCCTAGCCTGCTGGTGCCGCGTTTCAGACTCGTGTTGCTTCGGCCACTTAAACACACACACGCACGTACCCACGTTTAATGACTGTGATAAAACTTTATTTCTCCTCGCTGTGTGATGTCTTGGGTTAATGAGACTTCATGCATAGAAATTGGTATGAGCTGGTGACCTCCAACTATCTTTGAAATAATTAATAATGTGCTTAGAGGGGTTGATTTACATATTCATGAGAGTTTATACCACTTGGCTCCAAAGCAGGACAGTGAGAGAATTTAATGTTTTAAATGCATACCAATTTAGCAAGAGGAGGAGTGGTTTAATGTTCTAATGTCAGGATGGAAATAAATATATAACACCTGAACCAAGCAAGTGTATTATTTATTTATTTCCAGTAAAATCTGAATGCCTTCCAAGTTATCTTGCATGTTCCGTTACTGATTCTACACAGGAGTTTGGGAAATTAATATTTCTCATATTTTCTGCTTTCTGAACTTCCACTGGAAAATCATCCATCTTGGAATTACATATTTATGGAGGGAAACGCTGTATGAGAGCCAGTGAAAAGTACTGAGAGGAGAGAAGAGTGAGGAATGGCACCCCAGCTGCCAGTGGCGCGCCAGCGTCAGCTCTTCCTCATGGCTCACATACAGCAATGCTTCAGTAATTGACCACGGTACTAGTTTGCTCAGCCTGCCATACCAAGATACCACGGCCCGGGTGGCTTAAACAACAGAAATTTATTTGCCCACAGTCCTGGAGGCTGGAAGCCTGAGGTGAAGGTGTCAGCAGTGTTGGTTTTTCCTCAGGCCTCTCTCCTTGGCTTGCAGAGGGCTCCCCTCTCCCTGGATCTTCACGAGCTCGTCTCCATGCCTGTCTGTGTCCTAATCTCCTTTTCTTACAAGGACGCCAGTGAGATTCTGTAAGGGCCCACTCTAATGGCTTCACTTTACCTCTTTAAAGACCCTACCTCCAAAAACAGTCACATTTTGGGGTACTGGGGTTAGGACTTCAACGTAGGAACTGGGAGGCCCACACTTCAGCCTACAACGACCACCTTCTAGAATGTGAAGTGAAGGCTTGGTGCCCCCATATTCAAAGAGGGTCCACTGAGTGTGAACTCTGTACGTCCGTTCTCTCCACCACGGTCCGACTACCTGGTGTTCCTAAGACATACCTGTTCTCCAGTCTTCCCAGGCGCTCCGCCCCGCACTCAGTGTTGGCCGGCTCCCTGGCACCAGTACCAGCGCGCCTGCGGAATGAATGCAGGGACGCTCCTGCCAGTTATCAAGTTCTAAAATCTGGACTCGCTAGCAAACATTTCGTGGAGGACGCTCTTAACTTTTTCATCTTTTGTCAACCATTGTCTTTGAGGTGGAAATAGTTAGGGCAGCATTTACAGCCAAGTCTCAGTCCTTGGCTCCACCAGCATGGATTGTCAGGTTACGGGGCCTCTAGAAAGAAGTTTTTACTGGTTATTGTAGATGAAACTGCTGTAACAATAAACCCAGAAATTTAATGGCTCACCCACAACTGCAGCTTGGTTCCAGGGTGGGCATTTCAGGTGGGTCTGTGGTTGTTTCCTTCTGGCTTCTACATTCACATTGCGCCTTCTACATTCACATTGCGCCATGCAAGATAACATTGTCAGTATCTTCAAGGCCACTCCCCATATCCAGGATCCACCTGGTGGAGGGGAAAGAAATTATAAATGAGACATGTGTCTTTCGTACAAACCCTGGCCCAGAAATGGCACACAACCTTAAATTCCTTAAGCTAGGCCTTCGTCATTTGGCCACACCTGCAAGGGAGCCTGAGTAATGTAGCCTGGAAAATAGAGAAAAGAATTTAAGCCAACACCTGGAAGTCTCTGTCAAAAAGGTATTCCTTTAGGGAATGGGTAGCTCAGCCTGCTAGTGGAGGACTTGGCTGCACATTCAGGATTCAGGAACCTTGGGCAGAGGATGGACTTTGTAGTCAGATAGTGCTGATTCTATTACGAACCTGTTGGACTAGAGATTGAGCTGAATGATTTCCTCATTTTAAAATGAAAATAATTCTGAACTCAGAGATAATTAAATCAGATTGTGTGCCAAAGTGACTGGCACAGTTCCTGTATCCAATAGGTGTGATAGCTCCTCAATTTCAGAATGTATTCTAGAAACTTATAACTCAAGTGGGAAACCTGAAGCTGTGGCTTAGGTTTAATTGAAGTTTTGTGGCTAAAGTGTAAAAACCTTATTTTTCTTTTGACATTTTCTACATTGATAAATTATGGAAAGAATTCCTTTGAATTGAGCATCAACATTATAAAGAGGTATAAAGTGTTCCATAAATACACACTTGCAAAAACAAATGCTCTGAAAGTTATTGATACGAGTTCTTAGTAAAATTCTCAATTTAGATTTATTCCACGTAATCATATTTTCCAAACTAGTCTTTTATAAGAAGGAATATATGTAGGAATATAAATGGGTTTGCTTTACCAAGGCTACCATTCGTTATTATTTCTCTTCTTTTACTGATAGCAGTGGCAGGCTACTTTAACTGGGTTGTTAGTATAACTTTTAAGTCCTTTCTTGAAAATTTTGTATTCTAAATAAACCATCAATGGGTAATGAGATAAAATTCATTTAATGTGCTTCTGAACTATAATCAAGTATAATATTGAACAATATGTAGTCTGAAATTTGAATCACCACATTCTAATGGAATTGAGAAGTGCACTAAAAGAAATGAACTCCAGAGTATGATTCAATGTGGTACAGGAAGAAAATTTCATAACTCCTATTTTTATTTACTTTTTATATCATCCTTCTCCACCTTTTATTCATGACTCTTATTTCATTTCCAAATCCTCTTTCCCATTCAAAGATGCTATGATCCTTGGCTGTTGGCCCCTAAATCAAGAGTTATTATTTACTACTTCTATGAAATTGATCAGACTCAGTGTGAATAAGCACAATGAAATCAGTAAGTACCTACTAATGGATACGTCAGAGACTCTAGCATCTCAGTCTCTCTGTAGTGTCTTTAGATCTATGTTTATCAAACTGTGTTCCATGGAACCACAGGAAGGGGTTGTCCATATGGCATAGCAAGGATAATTTTACAGCAAAAAAAAAAAAAAAATGTGTGGTCAGCAACAGTATGCACAAGTCATTCCTGTTATAGTAACTAAGGGTCCTATTTCAGTACTTTACCAAGGTCACACCAGGCACAATAGGGGGTTCTGTAGGCTCCATGTCATAGTAGAAATTTTGTTGAAAGCTGTTGAGTTTTCTTAATATTGTGTTTGTTTGAAAAATAAACAAAAGAACTACACATTCTGTATTGTGAGTTAAAACAACCTAATTTCAAGATAGGAAAGACCAAAATTTAATTACTTTCTATTAGTGACATAGAGGGGAAACTTGAGTTTATTACTATTAAAATACTATGTTATTAAACAAAACAGTAGGCCCTAGAGCGGTAGAGGCTAGAAGTAAAAGGATTTGGGGCACTTCACCCTCTAAAACAACTCAGAGCAATTTTTGTTTTGGATTTCTTGCTCCCTATTTTAGTTTGAACATGCTCACTTCAGTTACAGACTATTTGCTTTCTGTTCATTTCAGTGAAATCAGTGATCTTGGTGAGTTTTTATTGTTCATATATGACAAAGCAAGTAGTAAAAGATGTTGGTTTCTGAGGGAGTAAGATCTCCTGTTAGATGAAATACCACCACCATCATCAAAATTTATTTACCTAATATCTCTTTTTGGATGAAATACCACCACCATCATCAGAATTTATTTACCTAATATAGCACTTTAGAAGGTACGGTTTCAGGAATTGGGTGTTGTTCTAGGCTGTGTACAGCTTCTGTAGCCATCGTCCTAGCAATACAAGGAGTAATTACCTATAAAATATGCTTAACTGTACATTCACACTAAGTATAGCACACTGGGTATAAATCAACAACAGCTAACTTCAAACTTTATTTTCCAAAGCAAACCTCTAGGCTGCAATTTTACCATTCTTCCTTCTGATCCAAACATAAAAATAAATCAAGGTAGAAAAACAGCTGTAAAGCTGATAATGAGATTTGCAACCAGCTAAGACATAATCTAAATCATAAGGAAGTTTAAAAGTCCTGTTGTTCATTTTCCACTGCACCTATAATCTTGGAAACCCCAGTTCAGGGAAGAGGAAGCCCAGCTTGTCATTGAAATGAGGGGACCGGCGCAGGTAGCGTCTGTGTTTCATGACTCACATCCCCAAGTAATATGATA